TTATCATTAGAAAAAAGCTTCGATACCAACAGAGTCGCGTGAAAAAACTAAAAAAGAACCTTCATATCAAGCCGCTTGAAAAAGAAAAAGAAAGATTCGTCTCATTTTTACCATGTGTTGATAATCGCGTACGATTCAGTTATCGTTCGTCCAAAATAAATCGATTGCGCAAGAGAGAGAGTTCCCATCCCCTCCTCATCATCCACCACTTGATTAATACCAATACCAACCATATTATAACTTGTTTAACCCATTTCATCAATTGTTTAACTGTTACAGATTCAATCTTATCACAATCAACCCCAAGATTCTAAGATGAAATCTCAAAGGATAAAAGATAAAATACGCTGAAACGTTGCGTTTAAAAATAAATAAAATAAAACGATAACGAAATGAAATGTTGCATAAATATCTTGTCGAGTTGAATATGAAAAATTGAAAGAAGTAACCCGACGTTCGAGCATTCAATTCATTTTGGACAAATGACCAATTTTACCGAGCGAAGATCGAAAATCGCCACTGTGTAAATAGCGAACGCTCTAGCAGTGTAACTCGTAGCCGCGTTCCCTCGCGCTCGCACCGTACACCAGTTCACCTGACCAGATAGACAGTAGGTATATCCTTTTTTTTTTTTTTCGTGATACATAGACGGGGGAGGGGAGGAATGTTGCGGTTGTCGGATGCGTGGAAAGGAAGGAGAATTTACACCCTTACCTGTGACATCGTTGATCATATTGTTGCCATTGCTGGCCGCGTATCCGTTGAGAACGCCCGCGATCGAGTCCGAGCTTCCGGTGCTCTTCGCGGGCGACGTTGCGGCGCCTGATGACACCGACGAGGACATCGACTCCCCGCTGAGGGAGATATTGCTGCGCATGTGATTTTTCGCGTTTGGGGTGGTGGGTGGGGCATCGGGAGGGCCAAACAGGCGATTGTATGAATCATTACCGGGCTTGTTGCGCGGCGTTTCGTTGCTGTTGCTGTTGTTCGGTGTATCGCCGAACAAAGCGGAGCCCAACTGCGATTGGTTGTGGTTCTTCACGCGGCGGGGGCTAGTCTCTTCGGGCGCCGCGCCGAAAATGTCGCTGCTTCCGCCACCAGGGGGTTTCAACACCCTGAAACAATGGAACAATGGAGGCAGCATCGTTAGAGATTTATTAATGTAGTTTCGTGAATCGATAATTTTTTCTTTTTTTTATTGGATCCTTGAGATTTATTATTATTGGAGAGGTAGTTTGCACTTTTCTGAACGGCCAATATTCCTTTCATATTCGCTCCGTTGAATATTATATTAGAGAATAATATTATTACTACTTTTTTTGAAACTTTCCGAGGCAATCGGAAAGAAACTTGAAAAAAAAAAAAAAAGAAGCGGCCTTAAAACCTACAATTTTAATCTCGGTCTCCATACAGAGGGATCTGGGTGAAGACGTCAAATTCTTCGACGACAAAGGGCAATCTCAACCCTCCTCTCTCCCTTCCCCTTAAGTGCACGCGAAACTGCATCGTGTGTAATACACTCGTGGGACACTCCTTAGTCACAGCAGCGTCGAGTCAGCCACTTTCGATGCGAAAAGAAGAGGGTTGAGAACCATTGTTCCCGATCGGCGTTGGCGGCCGCCAACACGGGGAACAGAACACGACGGCTCGGCCCCCACGACGGAAGGACTCGATCCAATTTGCTCGATAAATCTGCGCTGATTTCTACGTAACGAGGGTCTCGCGCACGTCTCTCGGCTTGATGCGTGGCACGCGCTTTGTCGCGTGCTCGCTCCGTGGCCGAGCGGAGGACAAAGCGGGAAAGGGACGAAGAGCGGTGATGAAAGGAGAGGGGAAAGAATATAACGGACGAAGGGGGAAGGGGCCAGACTTCGTCAGGACAGGAGCAATTAAAAGTATTGGGATCCACATTCTCTCTTTTCAACGAACGATGGGGGAGCGATAGTTTTAAAAGCAGGCCTTCATTAGCAGAACGGTTCAATTAGCGAGGGAATCGTTCGTGCGTGACGTA